CCTGCAGCATTGCATGGGGTTGTTGTGACCAAAGTGCAGGATGTGGCACTTGGCCTTGTTGATCCTCATACAGTCAGCCTCGGCCCATGGGTCCAGCCTGTCCAGGTCCCTCTGCAGGGCCATCCTACCCTCCAGCAGATCGACACTCCCACCCAGTTTGGTGTCATCTGCAAACTTACTGAGGGTGCACTCAATCCCCTCATCCAGATCGTTTATATAAAGTTTAAACAAGACTGGCCCCAAAACCAGTAACATGCTCTGGTGCCAGGGGAAGGGATGAGCTATTTGGGGTATGGGTAGAACTGCAGGATAAGAAAGGGCTTTCTGGAGAGCAGATGGAGGAGGTAGCAATTACACAGGGAATTTTGCGCACCCTGGAAAGTGTGTGGCTGTGTTAACGTGTGTAAAGTTCTTACTGTTCCTTCTTCTGCAGCACGACCTCAGGAGCTGACAGAATATGCCTATGTAAATGTGTTGACTCGTGGAGACCTCTCGTCTCTTCATTGGATTGTCTCCCCACTTCAACACTTCCACACAACTAATCCCAATGTTCAACTCTGCAAAGTCTATTACGCCGCTCTCAACTTCCGGGACATTATGCTGGCCACAGGAAAACTTTCTCCAGATGCTATCCCTGGTGAGTTAAAATTGCACTAGAAGAAAATGTATTTATGTATTACTGTTCTAGAATTTATTCACATAATCTCCTGAATGTTAGTTATGCACTGGCTAAAGTGTGTATCAGTTTTTGTTTAGCAGGAAAGCATACTTTGTAAAAGGAAGTACAGCCCTGCCGTAGGACTGTACACCAAAAATTCTTAAGTTCTACTTACAGTTGCAGTCCCATTTTTCATATGGCAGAACTAAAAAACCTTGCTGTAAGGAAACATTACTAGCCCTGTTGCATAGGTATCGAGTGTGAGGTGAAACAACTTGATGGAGGTTCCAGAGATAGGCAAGGTACATAATGAGGTGAGAATGTTGAAGTTTCATGCTGCCGTGCTACTGGACATGCTTTGCTTTTAGGGGAGAAAAATGCAAGGTGAAGTAATCTGCTGTCTACAAAATGGAGGTGATAATATCTTGCCTCATAGGAAGTTAAGAATTAATGTAATTCTGTTGAAAGGAGGAGAGGATGGAACATGTAAAAAGTGCATTCAGAGATTCTTATGGGTGACTTGACTAGGGCTGGGTTTCCCTTCATGACTGAGATTAGTCTCTGCCTAAAATGGGTGTTTGCAAAAATTAAGGTTTCACAGTAAAGCTATTTTTGTTGTGCTCGTCCTTTCTAGTTTACGTGTCATTCTTTTTCAAAGAGGAACAAAACTGCCTCTGAAAACTTCCATGAAATTTCTCAGGTGAAACCTGGAAACTAAACCAATATCTTCAAGGATAAAGAGTAAGATTTAATCGGACCGAGTCCTTTTCTGCTACTCTTGTTCTTAAGAGCAAGAAATTAACTGTGGTGACTTAGGAACTGTGTACATAGCAGACAAATCCCAGCACTTTTTCTATCTCTGGGGTTCCAACTTTCAGGGACTACTGCTGTAGTAAATTCTTGACCAAGGGATTTTAGAAGAGAAATGTCCTTTGTAAAAGATGCTTACATTCTTTCAGGTAACTGGGCTTTGCAGCAGTGCATGCTGGGCATGGAATTCTCAGGACGGGACCTGGCTGGAAGAAGGGTGATGGGATTGTTGCCAGCAAAGGGGCTGGCTACAGTGGTAGACTGTGACAACAGGTTTCTGTGGGAGGTGCCTAAAAACTGGTAGGTCAACTTCTGTTTTCTGGTTTGTGCATGTGGTTAAGATTTGCCTTCCCTGCCTGAGGCTGACAGCCCTGATCAGACCAGAGAACTGCACAGTGGGTAGATCCCCTTCTGGGAAATGATAACAGAGCTACAGTCTCCTGAGCAGCTGTAGGATTTGGCTTAGATTCACTGCAGGACTTGAGCGCTGGTTTTTGTACAGTGGCTTGCACAAGGTTCTTTTCTCTTGGGCTCTTAGCTCCATGTGTTTCAGTATACACTGGGATTTTGGTGTTGGTCATGTTCATTACTAAAATATTTTTGCAGAAGGATGAAACTTTTGGCTGTGTTCAGCAGCTGTGGTGGTCTGCTGTATGATTGAGAACCATTTATACGTTTTGGTCTCTCTCAGCAGTTTAACCTTTCCCTTGCAGAAAACCAGATTTCATCAGGAGAATCTAATAGTCTTTTCCAGCACTAAAGATCTCTTCTCTCTTTCACTTCACTCCTTAGGACTCTGGAAGAAGCAGCTTCAGTGCCTGTGGTTTATGCCACTGCTTATTATGCTTTAGTGGTTCGAGGTGGTATTAAGAAGGGTGAGAGTATCCTTATTCACTCTGGCTCAGGAGGTGTGGGCCAAGCAGCCATTGCCATTGCCCTGAGTATGGGCTGCCGTGTCTTTGCTACTGTAGGTGAGTGCTGAGGGTCTAATGTTATGGGGGAAAAAAATAAATATACAATATTTATATATACATAATAAATACAGAGAGGAAATGCGTGTGTGCGCACACACACACATTTTAAATATGTAGAAGTACATATTTACGTATATGATTTTTTTTTTCCCCTCAATACGATCTCCTGTAAATGTTCATGTAGTTTCTAGACTGAGAACAGGATGTGTGATACATACAGCTGCTGACTGTGCATTTGAAACACAGCACAGACAAATTTATCTACCTCTGTACACTATATAATCAAAACAACAGAAGATGATCAAGGCTTCTTCATTTTAAATTCAGTAATGTCATCAAAGAATGTCTGTTCATTGTAAGGCTTGGTCTGTTTCTGGTCCTTGCTCTATCTTATAAATGAGCAGTAACAACCAGACAGCCTTTGTCCTAAGGCTTGACACCTTGAGAGTCTGAGAGCTTTGAAGCAAGTGCTTGATGGCTGCTCAGACGTACAGTCCTTGAGAAAAGATGTGCAGATGAAAATGGGCTGTTTCATCATAAAAAATGTAACATAAGAGTACTGGCATCATTCAACTTGTCTTCTACTTCCAGGCTCCACTGAGAAACGCGAGTATCTCCAAGCAAGATTCCCACAGCTGGATGCTAATAGCTTTGCCAGCTCCCGAAATACTACCTTTGAGCAACATATACTGCGAGTTACCAACGGAAAAGGTAAGTTCAAGGAGTATTTTTCCTTCTTTTGTCAACTATGCCACATTATGCAGTTGCACTTTCTAAAGACAAAATGAGTCACTAGAAAACTCTCAGCAGAGTTGAGTTTATTAAATAGTTGCTTCTCCTTTCATTGCAGGTGTCAACCTTGTGTTAAATTCCTTGGCAGAAGAGAAGCTCCAAGCCAGTTTGCGTTGTCTTGCTCAACATGGCCGCTTTTTGGAAATAGGCAAATTCGATCTGTCTAACAACAGTCAGCTTGGTAAGATGGGGCATCAGGAAATACACCTCATTAGATTTATGCAAGCATGACAGCACAACCTATATACTATCTTAACACAGATTATCTTCAAATTTAGAAAAGCTTTTAGCTGGAGTACTTGTTTCACTTACATCACTAACAATTTTTGTAGTCTTTTCAAGAAATGCCTTCTTGGAGAAGCATGGCAGTCAGCATTTTTCTGGAAGCCTGCATAAAACATGCAAAATAATTAAGTTATCTTCCTCAAAATCTTTCTTTAAAATCAGTATAGGACATGTTGCCCACAAAGTGTTTGGATAGGAAAGTAGTAAGAAGCAGCATTCATTTCACATGGCACTGTTTACCACTGTGTCTGTTAGCTTGTAGATTTCATCTGTTGGACTTGACTTAAGCTTTTCTGGGATGTAATATATCCATTTGTAATAGATGAGTGCACTGTGAAACTTGGCAAATGAAGTTCATAGCTATACAAGCTGCAGTTTTGCCCTCTGTTCTGGGTAAACTTGATCATTTATAGAGTGAAAGTGGAATTTTTCAGATAACTACAGAGAACCTGATCTTGAGACAACCTTTATTTGTTGTTTCACTAAATATCTGTGCCATTTTGAATAGAATATGATAGTTCCAGTTGGAAGGGACCTGCAGCGATCATCTAGTCCAACTGCCTGACCACTTCAGTGTTGACCAAAAACTAAAGCATATTATTTAAGGGCATTTTCCAAATGTCTCTTAGACACTGACAGGTATGGGGCATCGACCACCTCTCTAGGAAGTCCATTCCGGTATTTGACCACCCTTTCAGCAAAGAAATGTTTCCTGATACCTACTCTGAACCCTCCCCTGATGCAGCTTTGAGCCATTTCCACGTGTCCGATCACTGGATATTAGGGAGAAGAGATCAGCACCTCCCTCTCCACATCCCCTCCTCAGGAAGCTGCAGAGAGCAATGAGGTTACTCCTCAACTGCCTCCTCTCCAGACGAGACAAACCCAGAGTCCTCAGCCATGCCTCATATAGGACATGCCTTCCAGCCCTGTCACCGCCTTTGTTGCCCTCCTCTGGACACATTCAAATACCTTCACATCCTTTTTAAATTGAGCAGCCCAGCACTGCACACAGTACTCAAGGCGAGGCCGCACCAACACTAAATGCAGCGGGACAATCCCCTCTCTTGGCCAGCTGGTCATGCTGTGTTTGATGCACCTCAGGATGCAGTTTGCCCTCTTGGGTGCCAGGGCACACTGCTGGCTCCTGTTGAGCCTGCTGCTGACCAGCACCCCCAGGTCCCTTTCTGCAGGGCTGCTCTCCAGCCACTCCTCTCCCAGTTATACCTGTATCCAGCATTACTTGGTCTCAGGTGCAGAATCTGGCATTTGTTCTTGCTAAATTTCATGTCATTGATGATTGCCCAATGTTCCAGGCTATCCAGACCCATCTGCAAGGCCTCTTGTCCCTCGAGAGAGTCAACAGCACCTCCCAGTTTTTGATGGCACAGGGGCCAAGATTAACCTGATTTCTCTTGGATGAGAAAACAAATCTGAATGTTACGATCTGATGTGTTAGTGCAAAATGACAAGAATGTTCTCCTGCTGTAGAACGATTGTATGTAGCAAGTGTTGACAGCCTCCTTTCTTATTCTAATTCAATTTGAAAAGGTCCTAGCATCATGGAAAATTTCCTATGAGGAAGAGTTTCCTGTAGAGATGGACAGGATGTACATGGGACCTGTAGAGATGGACAGGATGTACATGGGATTCTAGCTCCTCTTAACTTGGCTATCACTAGACAGAAAATGTCCTTTTTAATATCAGATTGACCATGTCATAGCTTGTCCTCTTGACACATAATTTTTGTGAGTGGAGTTTCTGTTAAACTGGTCTGCTTCTAAGAGAACAACCTAATTAATACAGCATTTAGAGAGTATATGCAAGAATTAATTTGAAAAATGTAGAATTCTAGCAACTAATGACTGCTTTACTCCTCAGTCTTAACACCACTGACCTACACAGACATGTTTCTGAAGCAGAAGATAGACTCTGTTTTGAAATAGCAGCAGCGTCAAGTGATAACCAAGTTGCTTTTTCTAGGAATGGCTCTCTTCCTCAAGAATGTGTCATTTCATGGGATCCTGCTAGATGCAGTCTTTGAGTCGGGAAACGAAGAGTGGGAAGTAGTATCAGGGTTGTTGACGAAAGGCATAAAAGATGGTGTGGTAAAGCCCCTGAGGAGTACAGTCTTCAACAAAGAAGAGGTGGAAGCTGCCTTCAGGTTCATGGCACAAGGAAAACATATTGGCAAAGTTATGATCAAGGTAATGAGATAACAACTTTGATTCTCTGATGCATCTGTCATCCTCTGTAGGTGACTTTATTGGATATTTTGATCCAATTGTATAACTAGGACAGCACAGGGTTATTGTTTTTACTGCTGACATCGTAACATATGTAACTGTCAAGTCTGTCACTGTGATTCTACAAGTTCATTCCCATTGACTGGAGGAGCATAGCATGGAAAGATAAGAAACGCGTTGTGTATCCAATCTTAACTTACTCTTTTTTTTTTTTTCCCCCTTTTTTCTTTTTTCTTGGGCGGGGGGGAAGGTCCAAGAAGAGGAAAAGGAATATCCTTTAAGGTCTGAGCCAGTTAAAATCTCTGCCATCTCCCAGACCTCCTGTCCACCTACCAAGTCTTACATCATCACAGGGGGCCTAGGAGGATTTGGGCTTGAGTTGGCACAGTGGCTAGTTGAGAGAGGAGCACAGAAGCTTATACTGACATCTCGTTCTGGCATACGAACTGGTAAGCAAAAACTGTAAAGGAACATGGAACATGATTGCCTGTCAACAGACCTCAGTTCATAGTTTCTCTCCATTTTTAAGTGTCCTATCTGCGAATAATAATGTCTTGATACCTTTCCTTTCATGTATGTATTCTCTCACTTCAAACAAGATGTTGTCCCCTTTATTCTAGAGGAGGAAGTATCTTTTTAACTTGACCTCTTTTCCAACTATGTCTTTCCTGGGTTTTAGGCCTCCTAATTCTATCAACCCATTTTCTGCCTTACCCAGGATTTTTTTCTGCAGCCTTACTTCTGTCTTTACCCCCCCACACACAAAGTCTTTATTCAGCTACCTCACTGACTTGTCCAATGGCTGTAGCATGGTGGATCACATGCCACGAGGAAAGTCCTATGAACTCCTTGCTAAAGATACTTTGTCCCTTAAGTTATATGTGTGGATGCTTGCTCTTGCGCCTTCAGATAGCTCATCTGTTAAGATGTGCCCTACTATCTGATAACATCTGGTAGCATTTTTACTCAGTTTTAAGCCATTAGTTTGATTACAGTCACCACACTGAGATTTCTTATCAGTGGTGGTCTTCAGTGTTTCCTCATGCAAATTCAGCCATAACAAAACTTCTCTGTCTCTACAGATTTCTTCTTTCTATGGGCAAGTTCACAACTGCACCACTTGTGCAAACACATAGATCAAATGAGAACTCAAGTTCTGGTTGTGCTATTGCAATCTGTTGCCTTGCTCTAATCCAGCCATTCTTTCCTGTTTCGGTACCCGAATTCTTAAGTTAATTTCCCTTCACTGTTGTAATTTTTTTTTCTTCCCCCCCCCCCCCATGTTCTCCTGACTCTGTTCTCCACTTTGATCTATTTTAGAATATTTCTGAAACTCGGGTGAGTTCTGTCTACTATTCAAGTTTTGTCCAATTTTCCTCTTGTAGCTGAATCAGGAATTATTTAGTTATTCAGTCCCTATCTAGTCAGAAAAGCATAGGGAGCAGGTTAACCAAAGCCTTATGGTTTGAATGCTTCATCCCAGGCACTGTTCACCTTTATTTTTTGTAGGCTACCAGGCTAAACGTGTTAGAGAGTGGAAGGCACTGGGAATCCAAGTGTTGGTGTCTACCAGTGATATTGGAACACTAGAAGGAACACAGCTATTGATAGAAGAAGCTTTACAGCTTGGCCCAGTTGGAGGCATCTTTAATTTGGCTGTGGTAAGTGACAAAAATGCCTAGGACTTGTAAGAGGCAGCAGCCATACAAGTGGCTTTTTTACTGAGGGCAGTCAGGCATCATACAGTTTTAGATTGCCTCTCTCTGTTTCAAAGGACACTTTGCTTTGGCCTTACGTGGTGACTAAAGGCTTACGGGTCTGGCCCCTTGACCTGGGAAGCAACAGTATTTGCCCAGCAAGCTCAGTTCTAGGATAAGATGAATGTTGCCCAGGATCCCCAGGGACAAGAAAAATCCCATACAGAACTCAGCAGTTGAAGGCTGCAGTGGCAGTACTGAAAAAAGCAGACTTGCAAAAGCCATGTGGTCCTTGTCACATTTCAGGACATTTGGGATATGTCTGTACTGTAAAGTTAGAACAATGCATTGTGTAGGGATATCCTCTCATATCTAAAACCACGTGGCAAATTTAAACAGAGAAACTGGAGATACTGAAACTGCACCTTTTTTTTTTCTTTTCTTTTCTTTTCTTCCCCCTCCCCCCACCAATAGGTCCTTAGAGATTGTATGATTGAAAATCAGACCCCGGAATTATTCTCGGAGGTCAACAAGCCCAAGTATTCAGGCACCCTTCATTTGGATTGGTAAGTGTCTGTAGTAGGGACAAATATAAACTGCTTTGTGGTCACAGAGCTGATCAAACTTAGTCATTTTAGTCTTGCACTAGCCTTCCACAGTAACATGTAGTTAGCACATTTTTTTCTGATGGGGTTTCTCTATCCTCCTCTGCTCCAAGGGTGACTCGTAAGAAGTGTCCAGACCTCGACCATTTTGTTGTGTTCTCCTCTGTAAGCTGTGGAAAAGGAAATGCTGGGCAAAGTAATTATGGCTTTGCCAATTCTACCATGGAGCGTATCTGTGAGCAGCGACATCATGATGGACTCCCAGGTAAGATGACTTTACTGGTTGCGCAGAATAATCTGTCCCACCAAACATCCAGAGGAGAACTAGCTCACCAGAAACCTGTGCACTTGTCTGGAACGATAATGAATGTTGAAGGCTGTTTCCTCTCCTAGCTGTTAACCTGAGTCATTCGTGTGTGACCGAACACCGGCCATTTAACAGTACAAAGGAATTGCAGGCCTTAACTTAGGTGTTTTTAACTCCCTTTTGTTGCTGCCACGTGTTTTAGTTAGTTGCCTAGTGTGTTCTGTCTTCTGATTTCTCCTCCAGGCCTGGCAATCCAATGGGGAGCCATTGGTGATGTGGGCGTCCTGATGCAGACGCTAGGAAACAAAGAGGTGGTGGTTGGGGGAACCGTTCCCCAGAAAATCAGCTCCTGCCTGGAGGTGCTTGATATCTTCCTGAATCAACCTCATCCAATCGTGTGCAGTTTTGTCCTAGCAGAGAAGGTCTCTGTGAAAACTGAAGGAGGCAGTCAGGTGGATCTTGTCGAAGCTGTTGCTCACATCCTGGGTAAGTGCTCTCAGACAAGCACTGCTGGGCAGTGTCTACCTCTCAATGCTTTTGTAAAGCAGTGGTGCTGCTGTAGGTGCTCTGTTCAGCATCTCCTCCTGATTCCTGTGGTGTGGGTGTGGTGTTCTTGTTGTGGGACTTCTTGTTAGTTTTTTCCTTTACACTGTTCCTTCTCGCCAATAACCAATTTGTTTCTTTCTTCAGTGTGGGCTTTTCTCCCTTAGTGTGTTTACATACACATGCACATATACTTCTTGGGTTTTGTTTAGAGTGGACTGGTACCTTTCTCCAAACAGAGAATCTATAGGAACAGCCCGCAAGAGCGAAATTCTGGGACAATAGGGCAAATACGTAACTAACTTTCTGAGTACTATTCCAGCTTTTAAACATTCACCTTGGGATGTCCCCATTCCACAAAAAGTAGCTTTTCTGTACTTAATGTAGTAGTGTATTCTGGTAGTGTAGTCTCTTACTGGCTCTGTCTATCTCTTGTCCCATGTGAACATCTAGTAACCATAGCTTAACTCTGCGTTACAAGAAGTGCCCTGTCCTCCTGTCTGTTTTGAACCTGCTTCCTTTTACCATTGTGTCCCCTGTTCTTGTGTTGAAAGTGAATAACCTCTGTCAGCTCTACTATGTCCCACTTCAGTTGTCTCTTTTGCAGACAGAAGTGTGTACTAATCCTTTGTTTCCTACCAAAAGAGGTACTGATAAATTAAAGACAGTCTCCTGAGTATTACTTCAGGCATTGTGTGCAGTAACTGACAGCAAATCCGATCTCAGAGAACAGACGTGGCTTTTAGAAGTTATAGGAAAGTGTCTGGGAAATTGTACCAGGTTAGTGTGGAAGGAGAGGGTGTGTGAAGACAACAAAGGGAGAAGCTGTTAAAAAGCCTAATGGTGGGAAGGGGGGCAGCACAAGGTGGAGGAAGAGCTGTAGATGCAAGTGTTATTATGAGAAGTCTTTTACAGGTAAGGAAAGGGTGAGAGACTTGAGCAGCCTTGAAAATGGAAGGCGAAGAGGTGATGAAGACTAGAGGAATTGCTTCCTCCTCCAGTGTGACAGACATCAACTGTTGCAATCAACCATCATTGACACTGATTACTGTTCCATCCCATGTTGTAGCTGCGGTTTAGTTGCATTATGTCTAGGACTGCAGTTCCAGTTAGAGCCTCCAGTATGTGAAATTCCTCTAGCTGAGTGTTCTGAACTTGGTCTAGAGCTGAAGCTATTTAGCTGGGACTGATGTATCTGTGCACATGTAACATGCACTCTAAAGACTAGGTCCCATATGACCAGACGTGGGTTGTAGAAGAGGTGACTTGTGAAAGCATTAGATGATCCTGAAAGGTAGGTAATTCTCTGTAGCTGCAGCTTATTCAGGTTTTAGGAGCAAGAAGGAAGATGAGAAGACTGCTAGAGAGGCCTAGAGCCGAAAAGAAATCGGCCTTTTGTTAGTGTGATGGTTTTTTTTTTTCTCAGGTGCCCATGATGTGAGTGCTCTGAATCCTGAGAGTTCCTTAGGAGACTTGGGCTTGGATTCCTTGATGGGTGTGGAGGTGCGCCAGACACTGGAGAGAGACTATGACATCGTTATGACCATGAGAGAAGTTCGACTCCTTACAATCAACAAACTGCGTGAACTTTCTTCCAAGTCTGGGAAAGCAGAGGGTATAGTGTCTGGATCGGGGTTGCTACCAGTCACCTGAGTCTGAACAATTAAGCTCCCAATCCATTGCTTTCCTCTCTAGTGATACAAGCCTCTGTCAAATCATGAAATAAGGTTATAGCTGAAAGGCTACTGTAAGTGACAAACATGTCACTGAATTGCATTCACCATTGGGTCAGGCCCATCAGTTCTGGGGGCAGGGTGTAAGAAAGTGTGAAAGCTGCTTTCTTGCCTGGCTAGTGTCTGCCTGCATGAGTACTCTTACGCAGCTGTGTGCAGGATGTAATTTGAGACCTTTTACCTGTCCGAGGAAAAAACAATGTGATGTCATGCTTACTGTAAGCTAAAAGTATGTGCAGTTGCTGCAGAGCAGCTGACAATAGGAAGATCCCTATGTCTGTGCCCTGATGATTTAGTGAGCCAGTAGCTAATGCAGAGCAGCCCTGAGATGCTCCTTTAGGACTATGGCTACGTGATCAAGACTGAACCTGAATCTAATTGTGTTTGTCTGGTGTGCTTCCCTTCAAAGAGCTGAAGCCATCCCAAACGATGAAGACAGGCCTGGGCGAACCTTCAAAACTAAATTTGAACAAGCTGTTGGTGAACCCAGAAGGGCCAACGATCACCCGTCTCAATGATATTCAGAGCACAGAGCGCCCTCTTTTCCTTGTTCACCCCATTGAAGGATCTGTTGCAGTTTTCCACACTCTTGCTTCCAAACTTCATATGCCCTGCTATGGGCTCCAGTGCACAAAAGGTATCTGTTTTTCAGCATCTTGAATTTGTAAATGTAACATTCTGAATTTTGCCATATGGAGAACGCTTTGTTTCTAGACTCTTAAACTCAGAGGATCAAGCATCAGGACCTGTAGTCTGCATAGGGTCATGTCAAACATCCCCAGATAACAAAGAAGTACTAGGTTAAGTTGAAGGGCTTATGTATGGGGAAATGGAACAATTGGATGTTGCATTGTTCTACTTGTCTTTGGAAAGCAGGAACATTACTATTCCTTGTCCAAAATGTAAGTTGCTAACCATAATTTAGAAGCTTACCTTCAAAATAACCTGGATGTTGCCAACAGGGTTGTTTCTGAGTGCACGAAAACATAATTGTGTCTGCCAGTGTCTTTTCACTGGAGTTTGTTTCTAACTTGCTTCCATCTTCTAGCTGCTCCTTTGGACAGCATACAGAGCCTGGCAGCCTATTACATTGACTGTATGAAGCAGATACAGCCTGAAGGACCTTACCGCATCGCTGGGTATTCTTTCGGTGCCTGTGTAGCCTTTGAAATGTGTTCCCAACTGCAAGGGCAACGAAATGCTTCCCATGCACTCAACAGTCTACTCCTCTTTGATGGGTCTCATTCCTTTGTGGCAGCATACACTCAGGTAAGAGACACAAAGAAAATCTTCTGCCTGGGGACCATCCTGTGTCATCAGGGCTCACGTTCTTGGAGCTTACTATTCTAGATATGAGCCATCTGAAAAGCTGACAGACTTTTCTTGACAGGGGAGTTGGGAGACAGCTGTAGACAGTGGATGCTTAGGGATGGCTGGAGGGTGGAAGCGTATGGGGGGTGGTCTTCCTTAACTGGCAAGGGCTGGGACACAAATGTTGCTCTTACTAATATCATGATTTACCATAGCATGTTTTCTGGAAGATCCTGGAGCCTGCAAGACAAGATCCTTGTGTAGGAGTGCTAGGAAACCTTGCTTAAGCCTTCCTTTCCATTTTCATTGTACTTTCTAGAGGATATGATGCTCTTGGCAATTGCCATCTGCGGCTTTGCTTTCTTATCTGTCCTCAAGGGATCTTCCTCCCCCACCCCACCCCAAGCTTCAGTCAATCTTTTTTTTTTTTTTTTTTTTTCCTTTCTCCCCCCCCCCAAGTCCTTTGTCCTGTAATTGGTTTTATCTAACATTCAAGATCCGGCATATCCCTCTCATGTTTGCATTTTATTCTTCTGTTTTCCAGAGCTACAGAGCGAAGTTGGCCCAAGGAAATGAGGCTGCATTGGAGACTGAAGCACTGTGTGTCTTTCTTCAGCAATTTGTAGGCATTGAATACAATAAGGTAATGTTTCTTTTTCCTTTATATCTCTTTATGTTGCACAGGAGGTGTGTGGGGTTTTTTGTTTAACAGAGATGGATTCTCTGATGTTGAGACTAATGGGAAAAAAAATGTTAATATTTCCAGCTGCTGGACGTTCTTCTGCCCCTGAAAGATCTGGAGGCTCGTGTGAATGCTGCTGCAGACCTGATAACTGAGACTCATACAAACATCAATCGTGAAGCACTCTGCTTTGCTGCCGCTTCCTTTTACTATAAACTGAAGGCTGCTGACAAGTACATACCAGAGACCAAGTATCATGGGAATGTGACACTGATGCGGGCAAAGTCTCAAAACGAATATGAAGAAGGTCTGGGTAGAGACTACAGGCTCTCAGAGGTCAGTCTGAGGCCCACTGGTGACTGTTGAGCTTCCCCTGATATTTGGGGGAGGAAAAGAAAAGCATGCAAAATCATCCTTACTGAGGGAGAAGGGATGAAACCAACCTGAAAGAAATAATCATTCTGCAGCTGTTGTGCTCTAACAAGAATTAAAAGTCCCCAAATGCGAATGAGTTGATTGGTTCCAGGCATTTTCTCACGGTAGTGAGGGCCAGGAGAGGGTCTAGCCTCTATATTGGATAAGTAAGTGTTTTCTAGAGCTAATTCTTGCAGCTCTCTAGATAGACTTTAGAGAATAAAGATGTTAAAACAGAGTAACTTGACAGAAGTAACTTTTTGGCTCCTCCTTTTCACTGTAGATGCCTAAAGTTTGTCCACTGCATGAGGGCAGACTTTTGAAGAGCAAGTGTCAGCCTGCTGACAATAGAGGTGGCTTTTGTTTAGTTACCTTTTTGTGGACCACTTAGAAGTTAGTATGTGGGTTTCGTGTGGGCCTAAAAAACTTATGTTTTCAGCCTGTAGTCCAGATAAGATCACCGTTCTTTAGCCCCTATTCACGTAAAAGGGTTAAGTGTCTTACATTATGGTACAGATACCAGTGAAAAGGAAGCGATTTTCAAAACTACCTTCCTGCTTCTGGCATCTCGTATCCCTTCAGACTTCTAACTTCCATTCATTATTGATTCCAAGCTAACTTGTATGTTATTAAAGTTACATAATGACCTTAAAGGAAGATTCACGATGGTGGGAGAAAGATTAGGTGGAGGGGAGGGTTATTTGGCTTTCTTAAGGGCTTGGAAGTAGCTACTTTATCATTAATTCTTTGATATTGTAGGTAAATTATTTTGTTAGTGTCGGGTTGGTTGGCTTCCTGCCTAGCTTATATCTGAGTGGACCTGCCAGGCTGTCAAACTGTCGTGCTTTAAAACACTGGTTCCAAACAATGCCCTGCAGCTGATCTGTGAAAATGTGTCAGAAGACTGACAAACCCAAAAGAGCTAGATGACCAGCTGGCTGTAAATTGTGAATGTCAAGTTTTTCTTTTTTTGTATCTGTGCAGGTATGTGATGGGAAAGTATCTGTCCATATTGTTGAAGGGAATCACAACACCTTATTGGAGGAAGAAGGCATTGAATCAATTATTGGGATCATCCACAGCTCACTGGCAGAGCCACGTGTCAGTGTCAGAGAGGGTTAATTTCTTCAGCTTGCTTACTGTCAGTGGTGAAGAAAATGCCAACAACATTCCTTGACCTTGAGACCCCAAGGAACACTTCCTGTTGTTCAACATCTCATCTGCTCTGCTGTGAGAACTGGGAAGTCCAGCTGAACTTGATTGGTCTCTTTCTCTCTCTCTTTCTTGCTCACCTTTTCCTTTCCAAACTTTTTATGGATTCTCTCTCCTCCTTCCTTTCCTACACTTTGTTTTCCCCTAGTATCCCTGTCCATGTTACTCTAGTGCTGTGACTCTGTCACTGTGCACTGACGGTTCCCCACCAATGGTTGCTTCCTACACCCTTGGCAGTATGAAAAACAAATTTAGGAGTAGATTTCTTGTGCTCTATATTGTTTTGTCTTAACAGTATTCCAAAGGGTATGCGATGGCACTTGTTGACCAAGCCCAGTGAGCAGGGAGGGGAGCTGCAGCTGATTTTGGAGATACCTTTTGTCTGTGAAGAATCTGTCTGTAGTTAGGTCAGAAAGAGGATTCCATTGAGGCTTTTGCAACTATATTTTTTTAATTTGATGTATTCTAAGTATTTATTGTGTCAAACCAGAGACTCCTTACTTGGTTTTAATTTATCGTGAGTTATGGGGGGGGGGGGGGGGAAGAACACATCCCTTTTTGGAGGGGAAGATTTGTTCTACAAGGGGAAGTTGCCCATTTGTTAAACCAAAGTGCATCTTTGGAACAGTCTGGTTTCTTTTGTTTGTGGGTGGGATGGGTTTTTTTCTTTTTCTCCCACTGCCCTGCCCTGTTCAGAAAGGAAAAGGTAGAAGGGAGGATTCTTGCCATCATCCACTCTTTTGAGGAGAGAGGGGGATGAGGGGGGAAGGGCAGATGGTTTGACAGATGCCACTGTGTATTGAACAGCCTTAACCTGGGCTGATAAAGACAGACAAAGCTGTCCCTAGGCTGGTACTTTGTTCATATTTGTGCACAGTTCTGTGATCTGCTGTATCAGAACCCTAGTAAAGCATTAAGACTATTGCTTTACCTTATTCCCTCCCACCTCCAGTCTCACCACCCAACCGCACATTTGGAGTGGGGCAGGGGGAATAAAATCCTTCAACGATAACTGAACAAATTCTCCTACCCCTGCTCTACCATAACCAGAGCTCAGGCAAACATACAAGCATCTACCCAAAGCCCCTGTATATTTTATTTAGCACAGGACTTGCTTAAGCCTTGTGTATTCATTTTCCTCTCAGTAATGAGACTGGAGATCCCACATAAGTTAGCTAAGTAATCAGTTTGATGGTATGACTTTAAGATAGAGAACTTTTTTAAAGGAAACATGCATAAAATTAAATTAAAAAAATTCTTGCCTTTGCCGTGCTGGATCTGTCCTTTCTGAAATCAGTAAATCCTTGCTACACTTATGATGCAGAGGAGATATGGGTAGCAACAAAGCGCCAACTAGGAGGAGCTATTGTGCCTCTCGGAACTGCTGTAAAACCCCAGTTCTCACCATCTTCGTCCCCCAGTGAAGTATCCTGTGAGTACAGGAGCATTCCAGTGACAGGAATGGGTGGCTCTTCACTGCGGGTTCCGACCTGGTCTTTTGCTTACACCACCCTCTGTTGACAGTGGCTGGGTTAACTGGTTTTAGTGTTAGAACATATTTCTTTTGTGAAATCTGAAATAAAACCAACATAGTATCAGCTTAAAGCATTTCCAAAATAAGTCTTGTTCTTTTTCCTTTTTCTTTTTTTTTTTCTTTTTTTTTTTCTTTTTTTAAATACTTTTTGGTCTGAAGAGTGTCTTTTCCTCTTTAGCATTAAACAGAATTGATCACTGGTTGGCTTGTTGTCTTATTCTCTACCACCATTTCTTAATCCTGTGTTTCATCTGGAATCTCTCATTTCTTGGTATAAAGCAAAACCTGCTGCTGGCAGATCTGATTTGGAGTCTGTAGAAATAATAACAATAATAAAGAACACTTACTATTCTGGAGTGTGGCTTCTTGTTGCCATGATTTTGGTACCTTAGATAACAACCAAACCACACACCCGCAAGATTGAAGTGGAAACTCTAATTCTGGCTCCTGTTGTGGTTTTGAACAAGCTATTAATGCTACTGCCTCGGTTTCCCCATCTGTAAAATGGGACTAATAGCATCTACTTCGAGGTTGTTGAGAGTGTTAGATAGGCAATGGCTATAAATGCTATTAAGTTGCTAGGTATGACGACTAGGTGTTAGGTGGTAACAGAAGGAGGGAAGCAGGCAATGTGTGAGGGTGAGGTGCCTTACAGCTGCAAAAAATCTAATACTGAAGAGTGGCTGTGTGAGCTGGGCATATGTGCATACTATGGGATTTAATTATATCTACTGTATACTAGCTATGCACATCCTAGCATAGGATACTACATAAAACAAACACGGACTGGCTGGTTGGTTTGTTTTAAATTTAACTACTGGCAGTAGTTGTGAGGCTGAAAAAAGAGTTTAAAGAATCCTACTTGCCTTGGTTGTATTGAAAACCTAGAAGGGAAAAGACAGGAGTGATTAAACTTTAAGCAAACAGGTACAATAGTTCTGTGCTAAAGTGTTTAACAAGTCTGAATGGGCCATGTGGAGGGAGCAAGGACTAATGCTGTTCCAGCTGTCGAAGCAGGAGTTGGACAAGTTCTCTGTATAAACATATATGTGCATGGTCTCACCTAAGCAAAGCTTGGAGACGCTGGTTTAGTAATAGAAGTTTCTCAAGAATTACTTATAGCCTATATGCTCTCAATGCTCTTGTCATTTATTTGAAAAGCAGAAGGTTTTGTTTTCGGGGTTTTCTTCCCCCATAACTGTCTACGTATGAGCTGCTGCCCTGTAACCCATTATGTAACTGGCTGCTGAATACAGTGTGCCAAAAATAAAAAACCATATTAGCGCTGGTACTGCTTGTTGTTTCTCAGTAATCCATCAGACATTGGTAGAACAATAATATCATCATGCAAAATCAAATACTGCAGTTGCTTGTTTTGAAAAGACAAGGGCAGAAGCGAAGTCCTTCCCATTTACTCCTCCATGTGAAATTAAAGTGGGAGTCTCTTGGCAACTGATACTCGATTTCCATCCCCCTTTTCAGCTAGCTTCTCACAGGCTTCTCTACACCATGCTGGTCCTAATCTTGAGACTGAAAGAGTCCCCTGTTGGCCCTATAAACTTGCTTAGGCTCACAGTGTCACATTGCTGTTCTGAAATGGCGGGCAGCATACCCTAAATCTGCAATATAGCCTTAATAGTAAGGATAAGAATGTATGGTGCACAGTACATGTAGTCATCAGCATTAAGGCTATTATTTTCCTTTTCTACTCTACCACCTTCCTGAGGGGAAATAAATATACCTCTCTTGCCAAAGATGATAGCTAAAAAAAATGCAAGAAGAGTCACTGTTTAACAGAACTGGTGACTCTACAGAGCAATACTAGACAGTAGAAGTAGAGAAGCTTTCTGGTGCTGAGACGGAGATCAAGTAAAACCCAAAAGATTTAAGGTAGAATAGTGATAAAGGAAGCAGGTGTGTGTTTCTCCTGCAATTAAGTAAGTTACCATAACTGAAGATCAGACAACTTGCCAGCAAATCGGGGTCAAAAGAAAGGAAAAAATAAACCTGGAGCAGCTGCATGAGGGGGAATGGGCGTGTTGCAGTAGGGTTGGAGAGGCTGGGTATTTAAAATAGCAGAACTGGTTGTTTAGGCCTCTGGAAGGTAGTGGAAGATGGTAGAAAAGAATCAGAAGAGCTCAAAGCTTAGCCACTTCTTGCAGCAGGGCTCATCACAGCTATGACTGCAAGAAAGTTGGGGAGGGGGAAAGAAATGTAGGCTTTGACAGTGAACTTGTGAAGGCTGTCAATGGACAGGCTCTAACACGCTGAGCAATTGGACTGTACGTGGAACCCTGCTTAGGCTCTGGTGCTTTGTTGTTGTATATAATGATGTCATTTGAGTTTTTTCCTTCTGAAGAAAAAATGTCTAAAGCCCTATGACTTAAGTTACATTGATGTTTTGACTGGAGTAGAGATGCAGCATTTTTGAGGTTCTGGAAGGTACTGGTAGATGAGAAGAGGAAATCCTCCACTGTGCTCATCCCGATGGTGGTCAGGAGCTTTATGAAATGCTGCTGAACGAACAGTGTTCCTATGTGTATTGTCATTTTTGGTTCAGCCGGCTGGATCATTTCCACACCTCTGCCCTGATCGCCTGGCTCAAAGGACCGGCGAGACCCCCTCGCTTAGTCCGAGCTCTTGTAACGCTCAGTAACTGCTTCACCCCGGCACCTGCTGGGAAGAGGCCGAAGCGCAAAACCAAAACTACTTCTGGGGGCTCATGCGCTCAGGCAGGGGAGGGTGGG